AACCATTTCTTTATAACAGAACACAATTTTAAATAAAAGTACTCTCCTCACAACAAGAACACGACTTTCACTAGAACTTAACATTAGGGTTTGATTATATTTTTATTGATGTAATTTTTAAATGTAGTAATAAAAAACTAGAGTTCTTAAAAAAAAACTTATTCTTTCAATAAAGGGTAGCGCTTTTAATATATAAAAGCATTAAGGTTTATATCCGTAAAATTTATTAAAATTTTGAGCTCTGTACATTAAATCATTTTCATGCAATGAGTTGTGTTTGACTAAAGAACAAATCCAAACACTTTTCCCATGCAGTACTTCCCAGAAAAAAAAATCGTTTTTTAGAAAATGTTCACTTTTTTACAATTGCCTATGAACACTAAAATTACTAATTAGCAGCACAAACAGCTGGCTGCAGGGTGGCATTTCTGCTAGTGTACATAATGGCACACTGTGGCAAAGGCCACTCAGTCAGTATACATGTGATTTGGATATGTTTATTCAACAAGACTGAATTGGGATGTTATCCTTACATAAACTTTTCTTGTTTTCTCTCTCTCTATTACATAAATAACTAAATATTAGGGAAAAGAATTAACTGTTTTAGTAATTAAAACAGTGTAGGAAGTATTTTAAAATATATGATAAAAAAAAATATTTTTTTTTTGTTTAAAAAGCATTTTTTGTTTTACAGCTGTCACAACTTTGTACAGTCACTGTGTGGGTTAAGTCATGGATTCCATATCATGAACTAAAGGACTTTGAATGCAATGAGAAGCTACCTAAACCATCTAAGCAAAAGGTAGTCAACCAGTAATTGTGCTTGTCAGAAACACACATACATAATTATAGAATTGGCACATGGTCACATTTTTTTTTTAAAGAGCAAATAGAATGCTTAATAGACTACTTATAAATTTCATGCATTGGTGTTTATATAAACTATACTGTATTTGGAAAAGTTTTGTGTGCTAATTATGTACTTTTAAATTGTTCTTGAAATAATAAAGATATATATCAAGAAAAAGTAACTTATCCATTATGTAGAATTTCTTGTCTAATTTTGTACTGGCTATTAGTCTTTGTGGTTTAATGCAAACTTGAAAACAGATACATTTCACACACATTATATGTATGGGCATCAGTCAGAATACAAACCTATACAGGAAAGATATGCAAGAATTTGGTGAGTGCACTAATAAAGTTTTTATTTTTCTCAAACTTATTAACTCACTATTTTAAAATGAGCAAAAATGAAAATAATCACATAATTTTTCTTAATTTCTGCATGTAATTATATGTAGGTATTATAAATGACTGAATTGTTTATTTT